CATGTACCAAATATGCACTATCTTCTGCTCTTCGCGCCAGAAGTTCGCAGCTGTTGGCGGCAGGTGTTGCCTTGGCAGTGGCTGTGTTGGTACACCAGTGCGTACGAGGAACAGTTTGTTCAGTGGTGTGCACTTGTTTTATGTACTCTGCTGGCAGCGTTGTGGCAAGTGGTAAACATTTGCTGATGCATTGTTGACAGCAATGGCAATGGCTCCCGACGGTTATGGATTATAGCAACTAAAACTTAAACAAAAGCGCTTACAGCTAAGCAGAGTGTAAACAATTTGACTGACGACGCAATTTGGCCCCGAAATGTGCGCAGCGCTTGTTGTGGGTGGCGCGAACGGTGAAGTGTTGTCAGCTAAGAAACTGTACAGGAAATTGGACAACTTGTAACTTTTTTTTGTTTTAATTTTACTTTTTTTGGCATTATGTAACAACAAGCTAAGATATGAAGCTAAGCACGAGCAGCGCTACACATGCGTTACTTTGAAAATTGCTTGGGTAGCTATGCAAATTTATTGAGGGTGCAAATAAAAGTATATAAAATGTAGAATATTAAGTATAAAGTATTTAAAAACCTAAAAAGTATATATATTTATAAATAATTTTATTGAAACTCTTTATGTTTGCCGCTTCAACTCCTCTTATCGTGCGAATGTTAGAAGATCGCTGCGGGTTTCTTCCTTTCATTGAACTTACTACTGTTTACTAGATTTTTTTGTTTAATGTTTTTTATTCGACCACTTCCGCTAGTTACCAACGTCACTTTGTACAAACCTAGAACTTGAGCAAAGCGCACGTCTGGAAGACTTGTAAGGATTCTGCGCATTTTTCATAAAGTAATCAGGATTTAGAAGAAAATAAAACTTTGAACCAGATTTAGTGCGATAAAAAATAAAATATGTGAAAGCAACAGTACAGCTAGCAACGTTAAACAAAATCTATAACAACTGATTTCAGACTTCAGCTTAACAATGGCTTCTATTTACACTTTTAGTTTCTTTACAATAAAACGCTATTTCTTTGCCAAAGTCATTCTTCTAATGCTCTTATTGTCATTGCCCGTTAATAAAATGTCTTCTATGCAACAAAAACCCTTTTATAAACTCTTCTCTCGTTTATTTTCAATGCCCACCTTTTATTTCTCTCTTCGTAAATTTCTTCCTCCGCGCTTTTGTACTTTGATCTTAACGCACTTGTATTTGCGCATTATTTTGTGGTATTTTTACATGCAGTTAGAGTTGTTTCATGTCTATTCGAGTCCCGCTGCAAAATCATCTGGGACTTTTAGCCACATTAACAGAAAAACTAAGCTGACAATGAAATGACTGACAACGTACAACAGATTGCTCTCGGTGATGATAGAAAAAGAATTACTAGAGTGTGTGATTATAAGGGTGTTGTGAAGAATGTACTTACATATCTCCGGGGAACATAAAATGGATTAAGAAGACTTTAAATATTGTATATATTACCAAAAGATAAGCATTGATTAATATACTGAATTTATTTTCTAGGAGAAGTGGCTTGGTATTCCAATATTTAAAATTCTATGTGGTAAACTTAAAAAGATAATATAATATTTCATAAAAACTTTAAGCTCAAAATTAAAGAAAAATATAATTTTTTTTTAATTTTCTCTGTATAAATATATTAAAACTAAAGTCCTTGTATGGAAAACTTTTTAATTTGAAAAGATATCTTAAATTAAATAATTAATAATTATTATTATAATCAAATTATTGAGATCAGACCACAATATCAAAAAGCTGCCATACAAACTGACCGACCAATGAGAAGACAAAGACATTTTATGCTATAAGAAAAGCACCATCAGAAGATTGATACACCGAAGTTTTTTACTGATTTTATTAAATTAAAATAATTTTTAAAAGCATTTATTTTAACGGCAGAGATAGGTATAAAACAACTGAAAATGTATTTCATATACGTAATCCTCATTCTTTTTTGTATACCATTGAATTTCTTTAGAAAAAAATAAACATATTTTGCTTATTATAATAATAATAATTATAGTTAATCGATTATATTGTTTATCGATATATTTCGATAACAACTATTGTGAAGCTATTGTCTGCCTCATTTTATTAAATAAGTGTTGAACCTTGGTAATCAACAACCCCAAAGCATTTCACATGTACGAGGTTATGTTAGATTAAGTAGGCATACAACAGTGTTTTAGAGAGCATAACTATATTAACACAACTTGCAATTAAAACCCTTATCTATTTCGACCATAAATTTTTTAAAATTTAACATTCACCAACTTGAAATTATATTGTCCATGGCATACACTTTGGTAAAGAATTTGATTTTGATTTTTATTGTTTTTCCAACATTTTACAAAAATTATACTCATTTTTAGCACTCTTAAATTTTGTTGGTGTTAAAAAGCCTTACACACATGAACTGTCAATTAGGGTTGCAAATTTGATATAAGGACCAACATGCAATATTGCAAACGCGTCAACAACGAAATGACATTGTTAAAGAAAGAAAGAAATGCCAAATACAAAGCAATGCCGTCAATTACGAACGCACTTTTATAAACTAGTCAAAAATCTAATTAACTAGCAAATCGCTTGAAACGGCCTGGATAAGGTAACACTCATGCATGGAATGACGCACTACAATACACTAAATTTTCGCTTCAATGAAGCAGGCTGTCGAACCATCAGGCTAACCGCCAACAGCAGTAATAAAGTGCCTTAAAATTTACGATTTTGCAGAGTTAGAAATCAAAAAGCCAAAAACACAAAAGTTGTAATGCCTTTGAACGTCAAGTGAAGTGTGACACAATGCCTTACACTTTACTTCACACTGCTACACACCTCAAGTACTCAAATGCCAATAATGTCAGCGTTGCCACAAACATTTTCATATTTAAAAACTATTATATAATAGAATATTGACAAGCTGACAAACGCAATGCGGCAGCGGCGCACACCACTCAACGCCAACCGGCACATAAACGCTGTTACAATCTGCAATTTGCTTCAGCCATGCGGTTACTATTTATGGTATACAATTATAGTTTTTGTTGCTGGCTGTTTGTTGTTGCAGCACGTTAGTATGCGTGGCAATCACTCAGTCATGCAACAGAATGTCGATTGTACATCCGGCGCATAGCAATATTAGGCGAAGAAAAGGCAACACAACAATAAGCCAATAACAAAAATGTAATCGTGAGTGACAGCTTAGGTGAGCAGCCACAGACCATTGCAGCAGAGATGTATTGGGTGAGTGGCGAAAGTTTTCAAGCAATAAATTGGCAATAAAGTGTAACCAAGTTAAGTGCCACAAAACTTAGTTGAACTGGTCAACAGCTAACTAGGTCGCCTAAAATGCTGCGTAGCTGCTATGGCATGCCTGCTTGTGCTTGCCACACTCAAGTCAACTCAATTGGAATGGAAAGTGATTGAGTTGCCATAAGGTGGAGCGCATAAATGGACGACAAAGACAACAAAGCGAACGTAACAACAACGGATATTGTTGGTTGCACAGTAACAAAGCAATGTTTCACACAGACACACACACACACAAAATAATTGCAACGTTCTTGTTGTTGATTTTAAAAGCAATTTAACAGCAGCACCATATAAAGTATATTAAACTGACAGCCACAGTGAATTATAACGATAAATGACAATAGCAACAATGGCAGTTAAAAATTGTAAAACAATAACAACAAATTTAACGCTGTACGGCACAACAACTACACACATATGAATTGTGCGCTCATTTTAAATGGTCAGAAAGTTTGCCAGTGCGTATGAGTAACCACTGCGTTGCTAAGTGCACTCAACAACCCAACTCACTTCTCTGAACACTCAATGCACATCGCTCCCTAGTCGAAATATAGATTTCACTAAATTGGTTTTAATATTTTCCAACGAACTTTCTTCTTTGACCACAAAGTGCCCCACAGCCGTGGAAGTATAATTCGTCAACTGCCTGCGCTCTTATTACGTCACAGCGTGGCATGCATGCCATTCAGTTCACTGCAAGTGGACGAGTCCACTTATTTTATTTATCGCTTTGTCTTTTCCCCCTCCCACAGTTAATTTTTCGATCAATTTTTAATGAATCGAAGCAGGGATGATTCGTGCCATTGGCTTTAGCTGACAAACAATGGCAGGATTTCTGTCAAACGCATTGCATGTTGTTGTTTTGCGTACTTTTTTTTATATTTTTTTAGTTTAGCGATTACCTACAACTCGCTGTCCTTTTTAATGACGCTGGCCAATGCCGACATTCTAGTTGCAGTCGTGCAATCGCGAATAAAAATCATATTGAAGCGCTTTAAGTCAGCTCAGTGCATTCGAGTTTTTCAAAGGTGTTGCGTGATTTTCGTAAAATGATGCAAGGTGTGTTAGCTGCAGAGATTTGTATTTAAAGAGTTTGTTTTTTAAGAATAGATTTCAAAGCTTTGTTGTAAATTTTTTACAAGTTTTCGCTGGTATAATTAAAGAGTATCAATTTGCATTGCTGCCCTGAGAAAATACATAATATCACAACAGTTTATATTGACAGTATTTAGAAGTGTAAATTAAAGATAAAACTTGAAATTGTCAAACATTGCAATTTTTAATAAAGTACTTGCTGTCTAAGTCTAAATTTCGAAAATGGGTTTTATAACACTACAATAGCTTTGCATTTGTATATAATGTATATTAAGCCAGAATTCAATTTAACTTTCGCAACTCTAAAGAAATATATATTTTTCTTAAATCCTAATTTTGAGCACTTAATGTGCACATTTCAACTAAAATTATCAAAACATTGTCATTTCATCGTTTCAAAACTAATTTTTTACTAATGAGTTTTGTGTTTGTTTGTATGTACATATTTCATTTCGTTATATTTAATTTCAAGCTGAAATAAAAATTAGAAGAAAAAACTTTTTTTTAATTTTCAGAATATTTTTCAAAATTCGAAATAAAAATCAACTAAAATTAAAGAAAGTAATTTTAAGTATATATCCTCGCACTAAAAAAAGTCAATAATTGATATTTTTTATTTATGTTTTCACACATAAATATATATATATTTTTTCTAATTTTTTATACTCTACTGCTTAACATTTCATTTACTTGCTAATATAAACGTACATATGTATGACTACCTCAATAGCACAAAGTACATAACAACGCTGATTTATTTAGCATCTTTAACTGTTGTGGGCTTACTGCACTAAAAATTTATTTAAACGAGCAAACAACACCGCTGCAATACCTATTCCACACTCAATGAACTCAGAGCACCTTGCAGGTGTTGCGCGCGTTCAAGTCATCTGCGGCGCGGCAGCGGAAGGATTGTCGAAATTTCACCGAATTACGTAAATATCCCTTTAGTAGCTGCTTCTGTGCCACGCTCTGATAAGTGCCGCACTCAGTCAACACTGAGCCGATGTAGTAAAGCTTCGTCATGGATAATTGCAATCGTCCCGCCGCCAAAAGCGTATCCAAGCGACGCACCAAACGTTCATTGCCTTGCTGCCATTGCTCGTAAGTCTGTAGCGCCAAGTGCTGTGCCAACAGCTTCAGCAACAACTCATTTAAATTATATGGCAATTCTGCTCCACCTGACTGCTGTTGCACACACTGACGCAATATTGCGAATTCACGCTCAGACTCCATGCTACGCCAAGCGCCCGCTGTCTGTGTCGTGCTGCCGCTGGCAATCATATGTTCAGCAAAGCGCTCACCGACCAGCAGCTGACCCAGTGGTGCGGTTAGATTTTGCTGTTGTAATAACGCGCTAACGCTTACGAAGATACGCATGAAATTCGCCGCTATTTGTGTAGTGTCTGCAATGCCGGCGCTACCAACGCGCGTGATCATGCGTTGACTTTTACCTTGCTGTGCGAGCATGCGTTGTACCTTCTCGAGATTGCGATAGAAGTTGCGATTGCTGATTTGTAATTTAGCGTAATCGGCATCGAGGCTATCATCGCCGTTGAGTGTGAGGTGCATGGCACGGCCGAGAAAGAGATGCGAATTCTGCTGCGACATTTCGTCGATCCAAGCAGTGGGTGGCAGTGATTCGTCATAAGCGCGTCCGATGTTAGAGTAGAGTTGCGCCATTTGCACTTTATCCAGATAAGCGTGTTCTACAATATGTTGGTGTACGGGCTCGAAAAATTGTTGCGCCAACTCTTGGCAGTGCGTGGCACTTTTGTCTGCGAAAAAGAGAGAAGAAATGCTATTTTGTACTTACTAACTCTGACTTATAAATCAACGACTTACCCATCAAGTAGTCGATCCATATCCAATTGAGCAGCCGTGTCAATGAAGTTTGTTGCAAGAACTGGAATAGTTTGCTCAGTTTGGTCTTCTTATGTACCACCACTATATCAGTCGGTTTCAGCGGCTTACCGAGTGTATTCTTGAAATACTTATCCCAATCAATCTGCACTGACGCACCAAAGCTTGAAGCCTTAAAGTCAACGTAATTGTACTCTGTGTTGTCTTCTTGCTGCTCATCTTTGAGAATTTCACGCCGATTTCTTTCAAAAGTTAATATTTCTAAAGCGATCAATCTACCCCGATCCATATCCACACCATACTCCGCGAACACCTCACCAACTAATTGCTCAAATTTGCGCAACGTTGAGCGCATCACATCCCCCACTTGCAGGTAGACGGTACGCTTGTTAGACTTAATCTCCACGCGTTGTGTAAAGAAATAATTTATACCGGCCTCATGAAATGCGCCTACGACATCCATCCAAGTCTTGCCGCGTCGACGACGCAACATCGCCGCTGAACCGTCAATTGCCGGCCAACCGCCACTTTGCTTATACATGAAAGAGTCCTTCAGCTCTTCCACGGAGCGCGCATTCTTGCAAGAGTCATAGAATTGTTTTAGCTTGAGTTCAGCGTCGAGCAGGTTCTCGTTGTTATTGGCGCTCAGAAATTTATCGAACTTCTCCTGTTCACGCTGTAAACGCGCCTCGAACTGTTCTTTCGTGCTGTTCACCGTCTTGCCACAGACATAGCCGTAGAAGTCCTCGCACGGTCGCTTATCAGTATCGAGCCAACGCTCTAGTTCGTATGAGAAACGCAGCACCTCTGTCTCCATATTCACATTGGGCGCGGCGTTGGTGGCAGAGGAGGCTGGCGTGGCGGCTGTGGGTATTGTTGCCGCCATTACAAACGGCGCTAGTAAAATATGCAAAATTAGTATAGCGCCTAGTAGTTGGCGGCATGTTGATGACATTTTCACACTGGTGCGTAGCCGCTGGCTGATGGCAAGTACTAAAATGTTTTAGCTACACTATAGAAAAAGTCGCATTCGCAAAAAATCTGAACCGCAGCTGCAGCGCAAGGACGAAAACAAAAACTTTTTCTCTTATTTACTTTTATTTTCGAAAACTTTCAAATTAAAATATCTTGCATGTTTTTTTCTCTCCTTATGACTTGGTCGCTGTCGATTTGCTGCACGGCAACCGCTTGCAATAAGAAATTTTAATTTCGTTTCGTTACCACAGCTGGTGGTAAGTAGACGAAAAACAATAGCGCTGCTGATATTTGGATGTCCACCGGCGCGCGTTGCAGCACTTTTGTCCGAGCTCTCGAACGCTTTTTGTACAACTAATGAGAAATTCTGCACTGAACTTTTTTCAAGCGATGCCAAAGGGCGAATTTTTGTGGCCTCACCACCAATACCGCGTGCAAAACAAAGGCGCACAAGCAAACAAAAATAAAAATGTTCAAATGCAGTGTATGCCGAAACTCAACACGACATTGCCCTTCCGCGCTTATTTGTGCGCAAGTGGTTTGAATTTTATTTCAATATTTTCTCTTTCTTCACCACAAATAATTCTATTCTGCAGCTTTGCTTGACTTAAATTGACTTTCCGTCGCCTTGTCGCGATTTTGTCGCGGCTGAAATGACACTGAGCGGAGCTCAGCTTTAATTTTGCTGGCTTAGTTTTGGTTCTTTCTACGTGTGTAGGGCACAAAGACATGTGCCTGAATATATGTTTCTAATATTTTTCCGGCCGGTGAATTGGATTAGTTTATTTCATCGCTTGTAAAGCCTAGCATAATTGTCTATACATTCTCACTGATAATGCCGAGTTGTCGCAGGTCACACTCGTATTTGATACAAACGTCTGTTTATATATATTTTTTTGCCCGTTTTAAGTTTAAAGCGTTATATTTTTATTTATAGCGTATCTATGTAAAAGGGATCACAGTGAATGCGCTTCGAAAGAAACCCTGATTTCGGAAGAGAGAATTTTAAAGACGTTCCACAATCAAAGAGGTTCAAGAGTACTTGCAAAGCGGAGTTTACCAAGTAGGTAGGTAGGTAGGTAAAGTGGCTGTCATTCGACACACCTAGGCCTTTAGGAGGCCCATTGTGATACCACTGTAACTGTGGTCCCCTCACTCTATTGGCTCCTCTCTGAACCACCCCGTACTTCTGATGAACTTCATCAGTGAGACAAGTTTTATCCGTGCAACCTCCGAGACATCGTCAAGAGACCCACGACCGATGGTTGCGATTCTTTTCCTATATAGCGCTGCGCAAGCGCATAGAAGATGTTTAATGGTCGCCTCCTCTTCTACTTTCTGACAGCTTCTAAAATAGTCGTTATATGGCGTACCAAGTCTACTTGCATGTCTGCCTATTAGACAGTGGCCTGTTAGTACTCCTACTAGAGTTCTTATATCATTCCGCTTGAATTTTAACAGTCGGCATGTGCGGCTCATATTCCATTCTTGCCACGTTTGCCTGCTAGTTGAGCAGGTCAGGGACTGATTCCACTGACACTAGGCTATGTTAAGGACATGTTTGTCGATTAAGTATCTACAAGTAGCCAGAGGCATATTTATGTCCTTCTTACCGGGGTCTAGTTGTAGGGTGGTGCCTGTTCTGGCTAGTTCATCTGCTACACAGTTCCCGCGGATGTCACTGTGTCCTGGGACCCATTGCAGATTTACCGTGAAATAGGACGACAGATCCGCTAGAAGATCATAGCATGCTTTCACTGTCTTCGACGAAATCCTATGAGGCATCAGAGATTTCAAAGCCGCCTGGCTGTCTGTGTATATAAATATATTTCTTGTTGTCATCACACTTCTTGTTAGTACAAGAAGGCTTTCTTTAATTGCAGTGACCTCCACTTGGAAGACCCTGCAGTGGTCTGGTAACCGGAAGGCGATTTTGGTATCTAGTTTAGCCGAGAAGACACCGCCGCCTACTCGGTTATCCAGTTAGTTGAAATCAATGTGATTTAGTTTTAAAAAACTAAACATCTTTTTCAAAAACTTCTATTTATTTATAATATATATCTTTTTTTTATTAATATTTACTTTTTTTTTACCAGTATTTTATTATACTTTATTTTTTTTATATATCAGGTTGTTTTATTTTATTTTATTTAATGTTGTTTTATTTTATTGTTATTAATATTATTATTATTATTTTTATTTTTTTACTTTATTTTATACAACTGACAGTCACATCACCGCAGCCTTATCAAAATTCAGCTCAAATCTACTCATATACACTATATATGTTTGTTATACTATGTCCATTCCAAAATGATAAGAGTATAATAATAATGTATCAAATGTAAATAAATGAAAAACAACAATGTAAAAAAAATCAAAACAAAAAAGTGATCTTGACCGATATATCGTAATATTGTTGTGGAACATGTCTGTGTAGTTAACAGAGAGCTGATAAGCGCTCACCACATAATAATCACATACACTGTGACATTCCATATATAAATAAATAAATAAATATATTTATTTATATATATATATATATATATATTTATGCGTGATATTTTCATCGAAAGCTTAGTTGGCGCTTATCACATCTGAACTTATACTTGTAAACTATTTTATAATGTCGTAAATATAACAGTACTTATGTTGCTCTTCAGAAACAGTATAAACCAGAAGTAATTAATTGATAGCAATATGTAATTCATTAAATAATAAGTGATAATAATATTGATTTTAAGAGCAAGGTTCCAAATATTTTTAGGGCAATAAAAAGTAATCGGCTGGCAGGGAATTAGGGCAATGTTCTTTGTTTTATTTTTCATTTTGTACAATATTTTTGAAATGCGTTGGTTTCTTTTTTTATAAAAGTTTGAAATCACAATATTTCTCACTATTAGTTTTATTCGAGAAATTTACATTTTGAAAAATCAAAAAAAAAATATCTGACATCTGGAAATATTTGCTAGTCAAAGCGGAGTAGCATAAAGTAGGCAACAGTTAGATAAAGAAATATATAAGTATTGGTAGCATTATTACACATATTTTTTTTCTAAAAATACTTTCATTAACAAATGTCAATTGGTTATTCAGTGATTCCTTTCTCGTTCGCCGAAGACAGCTGTACATGTAACCACTCATTAGACAACTGGCACTTCCTAATGAGTGTCTAGTCAAAAGAGAAATAATAAAACAAAATTAAAATTGCTTAAACTGGATTAGAAAAAAGTGTTTTCTATAAAGTAGATTTCTTTTTATAATTGAGAATTTCCAACTAGAAGTTATTGCTTTAATTCTAGATGCAAAAAATATTATTACTACACCCTAAAAGTAGGCAATAGTTTTTTAACTGAGCGCGTTCTTTTTTATTCAAAGCCACACACCTGATGTTAGGGTTTTTATTCTATATTTCAAGAGTTCTGAATTTGATAATATTAATTTAGTCATGCATTTCGGCCTTAAAAAGAACGACATTCTAAACCAAAAATATAAATTCCTATTAATATATGTATTTTCACCAAAAAATAATTCTAACACGTCATATTTGAAAAATTTAATTTATTTTCTTTCTATAGAAAACCAAAAATTAGAGCAGCTATACATTGAAGTTTTTCTTCTATACATTTTATATTTCATTAGTCAGTAGAAAGCTTTGAGGTTTTCTTTATTATAGCACATAAAAAACTTAAGGCGCCTAATCAGCACTCCAAATGATACCTCAACTCATATCCTTTTCTCTCAGGCATAAATTTAGTAAAAGAAATATGTTTTTAGAGCACTTCCTCCTCATTTCTTGCTTTTTTGGGTATTTTCATTTTAGGTACGCACACATACTTCTACAGCGTGTGCGCCCATTTTCCTTTGCTATCTCTTAATTGGCAGCCAAATGAAATTCAACATAACTCATTATGCAACCAACTGCCTATTTACATACATACACTCACATAAAGATTTCATTCATGCTTTCTATTTATTCAAGCTTTCACCGCTTCCTGCATTGTTTCGTTGTTTGTGTTGTGTACTTGTGTGTTTGCGTTAATTTGCTACGAAATTGCTACGTATTTTCCTTCCACCTTATCCACGCGCACACAAACTGTTTACCTGTGAGTTGTTTTTATTTTTGTTGTTTGTGCTTATGCCAAGCAAGTAGCGTAATTGCAAAACTGACCGCCTCATCAAAAATGTAATGAGCAAAAAATTGCAAATTCCTTACCGACTACGGATGTTATATGAGTTATCACAGTGGATTCTCCGGAGCGTTACCAACTTTTATGCACAGCATTTTTTATTCATTACATTTTTGTAAACCTTTTCACCTTTTCTTTTCAAATTAGCCCTTGCGGCGCTGCAATATTTCTTTTAACTTCAGCGTAAACTTTCAGCTTCACTCAGCATAACTGTTATATATATATATATATTTATATATATATATATATGTATGTATGTATGTTTGCATATATTTTTGTACACAATTCCCATTCGCCAAAAGCGAATGATTGTTTACATGAATTTTTGCTCATTTTTTGCGCTAATTAAAGACAGAAATTCCCTTAATTGGCTGGCAATATTTTCTATATTTATTGTTGTTGCATTACTGGCTCTTGCATGTGTGTATGTATGCGTGTATTGCCCGCAATTGGTAAGTTAGCGAAGAAAAACTTCACGGAAGGGTGCAAAAATAGCGCAAATTAAAAAAAAAAAAATTCTTTCGCAAACACTTTGCTTTGTTTACTCGGTAGGCAATTAAATGACCAATTATCTGCTGGGAATGCTGCGTGTGCGCATTCAATTTTGCGTCATTTTTTCCACAATGTCCGCATACATTTCATATATAATATTATTTTGTTGTTTGCTCTTTTTATTTGATGTTTTCAAAAAAATAAATATATTGAAGTTGCTCGTTTAATTTTACATATTTATTTTTTCATATAAAGTACATATATGTGTGTGTTGGCAAATATAAATTCGTGCCACCGTCAGCTGTTTATTTTAATTCCAATACTTTTTCTTCAGCTTTTCTTCCAGCAAGCGCTCTCGAGTGCTTGGTTAGCCGCGCTTGATATGTAAGCACAGCTGTGCTTGTTTGCTTGACGCTTAGCAAACGAGCCACTTGACCCACTTGGTCCACATAAACCACTTATGAGCATATCGCGAAAGCCACTTAGTAGCTGACCTGTAACATACTTACTAATATTAGCATAGAAGTATGAATATAATTAGATATTCAAACATATTTACATGTATATATATTTATATACATACAAAAAAATATATATCTATGAATACAGACCCTTCACAACACCGATTGCCTTATGATAGCCTTCCTTTTCCCCCACCTCTCTAACTGCCCCTCCTCAATTATTCTCTGCTTCGCATGCTTTTCAAGCACTTAAGTGTATTCTTCGGTGTTTGGTGAACTGAAAGCTTTTCAAATCGATTTTTTTATCCTTTGTACTATCTGTTTTATTCCTGCTTTCTTTGTGCTTAGTGTCCGACCCTCTTCATTGCAAAGCCAATAGCTGTCATACTTATACGGTTATATCGCTTCAAGTTGGATGGGTTTATATATAAGAATGTTTGTATGTACATATATGTATATTTATGCAAGTTATTCTTAATAATACCTGGTATAATGCTTATGACGCAGATCGAACAAAACGCCCATGCAAAGAAGTCTTTTTGTGTCAATTCAAGTCAATGGTGGTAAACATTAATGAGACTCTCTTCCCCCTTTTATGGGCAATAGACACCACAAAGTAGAAGTAATTCGTAATTGATATTTCGTTAAATGTGGAAAATTATACAAAATTGTGGAGAGACGATTATGAGAAGGATATTTATAAAGGATCAATAATGCAGTCCCTTAAGAAAAATAGAAAACATATGTATTTACGGTATATACTTACTTACTGTTGTTTATGTGAAAAGATATTTGAATGATGTATCGTATCGTGGAGAGCGTAAAGTAAAGATTTTTGTTATAGTTGTAAATTAAAAAAATTTTAGGTGATATGCTTATATATATTGAATATATGCAGCCTCTCTAGTCTCTATAAAAACGAATAAAATAGAGAAGTGTGCTATAATAGCAACGTTAATGAAGAAGAGCTCTATGATTTGTGTGATGTTAGATAGTGACGCATCGAACAAGCAAATTGCATAAATCAAAGAGACAGACAGTTATTGCACTTTACTGAGGCACCATTCTATTCTCTTGTATTGAAATAAACGGAATAACTTTACTTTTTCTGTAATTTTAAAAAGGAGCAGCACGCCCTATATACTTACATAGATATATATCCCCATAGTGCTTAGGTGACATATAGGGCACACAAATAGCTAATATTCTTTCATTATACCCTGGACTGGGTATAATAAGTTTTCAAGGAAATTTGTAACACCCAGAAAGAAACGTCATAGACATTATTAAGTATACTTGTATATATATGAATGATCAGCATAATGAGCTGAGTCCGTTGATGTCCGTTTGTATATACACGTACTATTCAGTTTTTGAGATATCGAACTGAAATTTTGTCATTCCCTCCCAAATTACTGCTCGTTTGTCAGTACCGTTGATATCGAAATATTATAGCATGTGGCCGATCAAAATCAAATCCTTGTATGGAAAACTTTATATGTGATAAGATATTTCAGACAATTCGGCGCAAATTATTCTCCAAGGCAACGCTACAATTTCGGAACAAATTAATCAGATCGGATCATTATAGCATATAACTAGAGATTTTCATAAAATGTATTCTTTTTTTTATTAAGTAGCCTTAGTTTGACTTCAAAGTTTTTTTTCTCAAACAATTTGGCGAGAAATAAGTACCAAAAAGTTTAGATTCTGATTTAGTTGAACATACATAGCCGCTATCCAAAGTGCTAATGTGAAAGGTATTATAGCTTTGTTACAGCCAAAGGTAAAGTTTTTTCTCGTTTATAATATTTTTTTATTTCATCCTGACGAAGAAACAGTATTTGTTATGGTTGTGTTTGATCTTTCTCATAACAACATTTTACTTAAACCTCTGAGAATATTAATCACAAAAAATAATAACTGAAGCATTCAAATACTTTTTAAAAACAAGACAAAAGTATTTTCCAATTACGATTGTATTGCTTTATTCAAGAATATTTTTTTTATTCAACAAGCTCAAGTCTTCCGGATTATTTAACGCTAAAAATTCTCTAGCTATAAAAACTCAAATCTCACATAAGCAGATTGTTTACACAAAAGATATTAAATAGATAATAATAAGCAATGCGTTTATATTTTAATCTACAAAAACAATCTAATTCGGCATTTTAATATTGAATAAATGTGTTTTCATTTAGTTTTGGCAATAAAATTAAAATACTTATATGTATTTTAAAGATTTCAGTAACAAAAGTTGGATACACTACCGAAAGCAGCACATACTACATATTTAAGCAAATATATTTTTTTAAGTTTTTGCTTTGTCTAAAAGAGTTTTAAGTGTATTTCGCCAAACTAAATATTTGCTGTTGAATTTACCATGTAATAACATGAGCCCTGGAACAAAAGCTCTAAATCAAATAATCCAAACTAAAGCTTCAACGTATAACACTTTAAAGAAAACAAAATGTTCAACATTTACAAATGTCTGTGTGTATACAACACACTAATACTATGCAAACTTAAAAACAACACATAAAATATTTGCATATGTTCAATTCTTTAGAGAGCTCATAGGCGTAAAAAGAGCAAGTGTTGGCAAACAACCGAAATTTGTTTATACATCTATAATATTTTAACGCAGAATAAAAAAAAGCTTAAGTACCATACATACAAACAAAATTTACATATTACAGTACAGTTATTTTTGGGTAAAGCCCAAAACAATGATTGTGTAGATAACTACATACAAATAATATTATATATATAGCTGTAAATATTTTCATATACATAAGCATGAGTAAAACAATAATCACAAATTCACTAAAATTTTGCAATAAAAAAAATATTTTTGCTTACATGTATATTTATAATACACACTCGTATGTCAGCCTATTAACGCTTGGACAGCAGCTTACCGCGATTTAACTTTGCTTAACAAGCTCTGTCAACGAGTTAAATGCGGTTATTTAACGATATGTAGACATGCATATAAAAACAAAAATTTCGATTTAATTTAAAATAATGTATCTATTCACACTTACCTTTTATTGAACTTACGTAATTAAACATATTTATGAAGAAAATTTAATGGATTTGCACTGCGTAAGCAAGAATAATAAACGAATTTCCTAAAGCTGAAACTATGAAAAAAAAAATAAAGTTAACTTTGAATTATTACAAATTATTGCAAAATATTAACCTATGTATATATATAAATATTATATAAATATAAATATAAAC